ACGACAACCTGTCCGAACCCGACAAAGACTCGCCTCAAAATGACAGCTCCGGCCTGAATGTAAACAGGTGGAGCGAGCCGTGATGTCACAGGGCTCGTTACGCCCATTTGACATACTGAGCTGCCATAGAACGCAATAGCATTTGGGAGCTCCTGAATACCATTCGGGTCTGGGAGCCGAGGTGTCATATGAATGGTATTATGACACCTCGGCTCCCAGACCTGAATGACATTTGGGATCTCACGAATAGCATTGTGTTCTATGACAGCTGAGAATGTCAAATGGGCGGAACAAGCCCCTAAAGGGTGACCTCCTGGGTTTGTTTTTTTTTAAATGTCATATAATGTAATTTTTTTTCTTTTGTCTAATCTCACTTTGCTGCAACGCAAATTCGTTCATAATGAAAATTCGTACATACTATCGCTAACAAGGGAGGACATACAGGTGAAACTCGAATAATTAGAATAGTTACGCAGTTACATAGTATTTGAGGTTGAATAAAGACATTAGTCCATCAAGTCCAACCTATTAGGATCTCATTCTAGGAGTACCCGTACCCCTGTATATTACCTGTGCCCCTGTATATTACCTGTACCCCTGTATATTACGGTCCCTTAAGAAATCGTCCAAAAGTTTCTTGAACAATTCCACATTATTTATATCAGAAAAGAGCACTTTGGACCACTGAGCACAGACGTTTTTTGTTGTTCAGGAGTCGCTTGACAAGAGGAATACGACATTTGAAGCCCATGGCCTTTTCCTGACAATCCTCTCCAGGCTGCGGTCATCCCTGCTGCTTGTGCACCTTTTTTCTTCCAAGTTTCCCCGAAAATAAAACAGTGTCTTATTTTTATTTTTTTTTTCACGAAAAAAGACACTAGGTCTTATTTTCGGGGGATGTCTTACCTGGCTGCTGCTGTCCGCTCTGCCGTCCAGGGAGCCACAAACAGAAACACAGGTGGGCGGGCGAGGGGGCGTGTCTGGTACGGGGGCGGGAGGGAGCGGCCTCTCCGCTCTGATCATTACAAGGAGAAACACAGGTGGGCGGGCGAGGGGGCGTGTCTGGTACGGGGGCGGGAGGGAGCGGCCTCTCCGCTCTGATCATTACAAGGAGAAACACAGGTGGGCGGGCGAGGGGGCGTGTCTGGTACGGGGGCGGGAGGGAGCGGCCTCTCCGCTCTGATCATTACAAGGAGAAACACAGGTGGGCGGGCGAGGGGGCGTGTCTGGTACGGGGGCGGGAGGGAGCGGCCTCTCCGCTCTGATCATTACAAGGAGAAACACAGGTGGGCGGGCGAGGGGGCGTGTCTGGTACGGGGGCGGGAGGGAGCGGCCTCTCCGCTTTACAAAAACCGAAGCTCCCAGACCCGAATGGCATTCAGGATCTCCCCAATGCAATTCGGAAATTCGGATCCAGAATGCCATCCAGATAGCAAAGATAACTTGCCACAAACTTGTGGCAGGGTAAAATTGTAATTCTTGTAATTCCTGGCGAGCTGTAGACTTTCAGAACACTCGCAGCACAAGTTCTAGTTGACACTTTTTGAATTTTGTAGCAAATTTGCTTGGCAAGTCTACAGCGAGAGTCCTGCAGGTCTTAGCAAGAGCTCCGCAAGTGTACAGCACTTTTGCAAAGCACGTTGATCTGGAGACTTGCAATGCAGACTTGCTGTAATTCTGCAACAAAATTGTGAAGCTTGGCAAGTCTGCAATAGTTTAGCAAGTCATTTTCAAACTCGCAGCTCAATTGCTTGCTATCTGTTATTCGGGTCTGGGAGCCTCAGCTTCAGTATTATATGTATATACTGTATATGGCTCCCATGTCGCCATAACGGAAATTCGGATTCCAACACATTCGGATGCATTGGGATTCGGAAATTTGTCTGAATTCTGATTCGGAACTAAACGAGTGGCACATGTCTAGTAGTGTTATAAGTGCTCATCTTCAACAGCTATATTACAGATGTCCTAAACCTATCTACTTGGCATTAAGGCCCCAGGCACATTCATCTCAGGGAATGATGCTTGTCTCAGGTTGTGCAGAAAGATGGGCACCAGTCACTTTAGTTGGGATTTTGTAGTTTTAATGCACAAGTGCATGGAGAACAGGAAGGCGGGTGGAGGGAGCACAGGATGACTTAAGGTTTCCACATAGAACTTACAGGGTTATTCACAGAAGGATGAGGAGTTTGGAGGAGGGAGGAGAAGTGAACAATCTAGGACAACATAGCTGAGCTGGAAAGTGAGCTGAATTGGAAAATGTTTCCAAATCGGCTATTCTGTCCTAGATTGTTCACTTCTCCGGCCTTCTCCAAACTCTTCACCCTTTTGTGAATAGACCTGATAGTCTGTGGTGTTCTGCATATCTCTCTAAACCCTCTGGGTCCCTCTCTCACAGGGCTCTACTGGCTGGGCACCGAAAACTTCAAATGTGGCTCCTTGTCACCTGAGGTTCTAGCCAGTATTGATTAGGGTCTGTGAGGTACTTTGATATTTTTCATTTCTTGTTAAAATATTGTTCCGGGTTGATTCACAAAAAAAAGTATCTTGTAAGGAAATAAAATTTTAGCAATAATCTGACCGTGTGTGCGCTCCCCCCGGTGTTTGTACGTGGTGATCACCCATGATAATTTGTAATCAGCTTTTCAGCTGACTTTTAAAATCAAAGATTTGTTAAGTTTTGTTCCCTTCATGATGTGACATTCTTATTTCTGATCTTCACACAGCAACGGAAAGGACCATTACAGGGCTTTCTTCTGCATTATCCATCTATCTCTATCCGTCACCTCTCGGAGCCAATGGACCCTAAGAGAAATAAAAATCACAAGGTACAGTAATGTCCGGCATGAAGCAAAACCATTGTGCACAATGTAACATTGTTTGAAAGAACGGAACACATATATCAGCTTATAAAGTGCCCGTATCAGACTCATAAATACTTACCTCTCCTGCCACCCAAGTTGCCTAATGCCACTTCCATTATTGCTCCCTCAAATGATACCAGCTCAGAAAATCAAGCATAAAGGTAGATGACTGGTATGCAGGGGCGTAACTAGAAATCACAGGGCCCCATAGCAAAATGTTGTATGGGGCCCCGTGATTGCTAGTTATGCCACTTGCAGATCCCACCTGATATACCAAACAGCCCACCTGAGACTGACCCTGCAGAATCCACCATAGACTCTCTATAGTGGGCTCTGTAGGGTCTCAGATGGGCTGCACACCTCTTACCTGTCAGCGCTGTCCGCCTCCGTGGTCGCCGGGCCCCGCCTCCACTTCTATCGGCCCCCTGCCGCCTCTTAGGTCGCTGGCCAGTGATGTAAGAGGAGGCGGAGTTGTTCTTAAGCGGGCCCCCGTCTCCTCCTTCATTGCAAACGCCAGCCTCTTCTGCCGCAGCTGCTGGCTGTCACTGACACAGCTCCGCAGCGGCAAAGAGGGGAAACGCGGCTGCTGAGCTGTGTCAGTGACAGCCAGCACCCTTATATGCCATAGCGACCCACACGGCATCAGAGGGATGCCCTGGCCGGGCCCCCCTGTCCCTGGGCCCCATAGCGGCCGCCTGGGTCGCTATGGCGATTGTTACGCCAATGCTGGTATGCCATGAGTGTACAGGGGCTTCATCATGGTGATGCCATGGCTGATTCTAAAAGAGATACCCCCAAAATAGAACCTTATCTCAGAACATGGTTGCAGTGCTGAACTGAGGAAGGGTCATGTACAAATCACATGCCCTTCGAAGTTCATTGTAGTGCATATAAAAAGATTAACTTCAGGAGATATTCAGTATAACTCCAACTATTTAAAGCTTTTCCAGATTTTGGACGGGATGGCATTTCCAAAAATGGTTCACAGCAAGAACAGAATGTTTGATACATTGGTTCTCTGTGATCCTAAACTCAGGAGTTAAATCTTCAAAATGCATTCAAGAACCTTTACACAAATGTAACAACAGTGCATCTTATTTGTGTATCACTCGGCTGTAGATCCTCCAATCATCTCTGAATTGGTGCTGACTAGACATGTGCATGGCAAAAAAAATCGTTTTGGACGAAACAAATGAAAACTAAAAACATTTTCATTCGTTTCGTCAAAGGAAATACATTTTAATGCTGTTTCGGATTCAGAGGCAACGAGCCTCCATATCCAAAACTGCAGAATGAGCGGCGGCCATATCGGCTGCCAGCGCGTTCTGCACATAAGCGCTGCCATTTTGGAGTGTATCTTGGTATATACCAAAATATACTCCACAACTGGTGCAGTCATCTGCAAAACGCTCTGGCGGGCCGCTGTGGCCGCCGCTCGTTTAGCGTATGATGTCACCATCATGTGACATCATACGCTTCGCCTCCAAGATGGCGGCGGGCATGCGCAGAACCTGCCAGTGGCCAATATGGCGGCCGCACGTTCTGTAGACGAATTTATGTATGCCCGAATATAGTTTTCGGATATTCCGCATATAATAAATTCGTCATTTCGGATTCGGACGTGCCGCCAAATCAACGGAATTTCGTTGATTTGCAGGTTTTTCCGAATCCGAATGCACATGTCTAGTGCTGGCACTGTCCTTCCTTCTGGAGGGGGGCTACTTTTGTTCCCCATGGTCCCTGTGTGTGTTGTAAAGTAGTCACCACTCCAAGCTCACTCCTGTGATGGACTACAATCTCATGTTTAGTTTACTAATTTGTGTTTTACTGTTCATCATCCCCCCAACACCCCCAGCTGGAATTCCAGTTCAAGCAGCTACTGAAATTAATAATCCATATCTGCTCTAGTCAGATGAAACAATGTCATATTTCAGGCACTAGGAGTGAATAGGGGAAGTGTGTATGCAGCTTCAGAGTTTAGTGTGCTTTAGGAGGCAGAGAGTTGCGAAATAAATAGTTATAGTCTCGGAAGAATGGGGATCTCAGACTTGAATCAGCATTATGATGTATTTGCATTCATTTAACAATTATCATTGTTCCTATCCCTGAAGCCGCAGGTAGAAAATCTGCTGGAAAAACAATATGAAAATAAGATTCGTCCTTATATCGATCTCATCGATTCACTGCGGGCGCTGGGGGTGGAGGAAGACCTGGCGTTGCCGGCGATCGCTGTCATTGGTGATCAGAGTTCTGGGAAAAGTTCCGTCTTGGAAGCTTTGTCTGAAGTATCCCTTCCAAGAGGCAGCGGTAAGGAACATTTCACGACCAGTTTTATTTATCAGCATTGGAATCAAAAACCTCATTGGTCAGAGGCAGAGCGAGCAATGATAATCTCCCCAGACTGGGAAATTAACTGGAACAATGGAATAATCTTTCTGCTATGGGCAGCAAGAACTGCCCGGGTTTCAGATAACTTCCAATGTGGGCAAAATAATGGAAACGCCTAAAAATATATCAAAGTAATCCTGCACTGAGCAAAATAAGGAGGCTGCCATTGCTGTGCACCTTATCAAAATGCTAGTTGCTTGGCGGTCACTACCATCAGTAGGTTGTAAGTCACTGAACTGAAACAAGCATACAGATAAGAAGCTCTGCCTTCACTTTTATGGCACTAACAAATGCTTATTCAAGATCGGAAACTCAGAAAATACTGAATCCAGAGACAACCAGGGAACTCGTTTTTAGATAAATAGAGGTCAGCAATGGCTGCCTACATATTGCTTTCAGTAATAGTTTCCTTTAAAGCAGGGCTAGGCAAACTCTGGCGCTCCAGTTGTGGTGCAACTACATGTCCCATGAGCAGGGCCGAATTTACTCTCACTGCTGCCCCAATGTCAGGTTCCTCAATGCACCCCGCTGTATGCAGGCTGCATGCAAGTGATCTTGTACAAAACTGCTAAGATCACTTGTACAAACAAGCGGTGGCTTCCCCGCTGTACATTTAGCTCTGCGTGCCCAAAGCAGGGCTAAATGTAGAAAACAACTACCTGCCCGGTGCCCGGGACTGCATGTCCCAGGCGCCGGTACATAGGAATTCCACACCCCTGCTGCCCCTCTACTCCCTGCTGCCCCGAGGCCGGGCCTCGGTTGGCCTTATGGGAAATCCGGCCCTGCCCGTGACTCCCCAGATAGCAAGGATAACTTGCTACAAACTTGTGGCGCTGTGAAATTGTAATTTTGTTAACTTGCTGCACATATTCCTGGCAAGTTGTAGACTTGCAGAACACTCGCAGCACAAGTTCTAGTTGACACTTTTTTTATTTGTAGCAAATTTGCTTGCCAAGTCTACAGCAAGAGTCCTGCAGGTCTTAGCAAGAGCTCTGCAAGCACGTTGATCTGGAGACTTGCAATGCAGACTTGCTGTAATTGTGCAACAAAATTGTGAAGCTTGGCAAGTCTGCAATAGTTTAGCAAGTCATTTTCAAACTTGCAGCTCAATTTCTTGCTATCTGGGTCTGAGAGCCACAGGCATGAGCCAGAGGCAGATGCATGATGGCATTTGTAGCTTTACCTCACCTAGAGTTTGCCTACTCCTGCTCTAAAGCACATCTAAACCCAAGAACCAAAATGTAGTATATTGTAGATTACCAGTTCTTAGATGTGGTGGCTGAATTAGTTTTCTTTTTTTCAGTCTTTTTTTATTACTCTGTTGTCACCTGATGATCCAGCCAGTAACACACTTCCTGTCCTAGAGTGACAATGCTGTATCTTTGGAGGAGCTGTGTTGTCACCTTCAGGCAGGACTACAGAACACCTGGGGGAGGAGGGTGTTAGATATGATGACTGGGGAGGTATTATCCTTGAATATGGGGATGTCAGAGATCAATTGAGCTCTCCCAATATTCTTAGTCCAATGTGGTGCCTGTTGCGGTATAGTGGAGACATTGATATTGCCCTGCCTTCGAGGTCTTTTGTCACTCTTTTGTTATTTTATGCTAAAAAGCTGATTGCAATGTACTGGAACAAGGATGGTCGGGTGGTGCCTTTGTATAAACTGACCTACAAAGCTAGGGGATGCCCTCAGACATTTGAAACTACGGTATATTGTCTAGATGGGTTGATATTCAGGATACTGTTGAGACTACCATAATGTAGATGAGACCAGGGGTGCATCTACCGCAAGGCAAACTAGGCATTTGCCTAGGGAGGCACTTTCCAGGGGGGCAGCAGAAAACGCCGCCCCAAACCAATGAGGCGGACAGGGCCGGACTTGCCTTTGGGCACACTGGCCGGCACAGAATCGGGCAGTGGCGGCTGCCTAATGTGGCAAACTAAGTGGCCGCAAGTTCCTAAGGGCAACTGCCTAATTAGAGAGCTGCCCGGTGGAGGGGAGGGCTCAGTGAGTTGCGGTCCAGCTGGCTACATACAGGAGGTGGAGGAGAAGCAGCGGGTGGCTCGGGGCTGGCCATAGCATGTGATCTGATGGTGGGATGTCCCAGAAGCAGGCTGGCGGGGCTGCAATATATTCTGTTGGTGCTGATGGCACTTCGACCTGCAGGTAAGAGGAGCAGCACATGTAAGCAGGGAAAGGGTCTATGCACAGTCCTCCTGAGACCCTGCACAGCCCACCATAGATCCTGCACAGCTCACCTGAGACCCCGTACAGCCCACCTGAGACCCCGTACAGCCCACCTGAGACCCCATACAGCCCACTTGAGACCATGCACAGCTCTCCTGAGACCCCGTGTGCGCTGTATCCAGTGACTGACAGGTTGAGCAATATATCCTAAACAGGAAGGGGTGGGGCAAATTTAGATTGAAGGGGGTACTTGAGTTTAGTCTTGCCTAGGGCAGCACAAAACCAAATTATACTACTAGATGAGACCCAGTGTGCTGCTGTAGGCTCGAGTAGAGATTTACCTACTATAACCTTATACAATTGCAGAGTAGAGGTGACCATACACTGTTCTATTTTTTACGTTCAACCCACTGGCTGAATTAAAAAATTTAAGCGATTCCTCCATCAGTCCTTTTGTGCGTTGATCATGGAACCCCCTGCTGTTTCCGCTGTCAGAATACCCGAACAGAGCCGGCAGCTCAGTGGCTGCCAGCTCTATTCATCCGAAGATTTTCCGACCAGCTCCTTCGATCAGCTGATTGAGTGATGCTGACTGACAGGGTGCTGACAGTGACACCCACTGTTTGAATTTCAGACAGTTACTCAAGAACCGGCCAATATTCACATAATGTATGGCCAGGATAAGCTTTAAACTTAATCACCCCCACCGGTTGCCTAAGCTGGCCATACATCAGTAGAATTTTGTACGAAAAAGTTTAGGAACATTGGTTCTATTTTCCAATGGTTAATGGGGTCAAATCAACGACTGATTTCAAAATAGTTACATAAAAAATCAAAGGCGCATAATGGAAACATTTCCATCCAAATTTTTTTGCATCCATCGGGGACCATTGGAGCTGGTCTGGGTGATTGGGTACAATGCACAGGACCCTGATGCCAGTCTCCAAACGACACCTAAGTAAGCAATATCGATCTCATCTTCCTCCTAGGTGGGTGGCTTCCTCCATAGAGACAATGGAGGGAGCATAGCCACCCTAGGACAGAAAGTAAGTTATTAGCAGGATCCCCACGTGAAAGTAAAGGGGAAAAAAAGCTGAAAAAAAAGAAATCTAATGCAGCCCCCACATCTAAACTTTTGCTATCGGGTTTAGATTTTAGGTCTATAATATAAAGCAGAAATGTGACATAGTTAGTCAGGTTGAAAAAATATACAATTACATTGAGTTCAATCTGTAGGGGAAAAAACAAAACAAAACATTCTCTTGTGGAGAATCAATTGCTGTCATTTAAAACACAGGGACCTGCATATATAAATGTCTTCTATGGGCAACTGAACTCACTTTGCCTTGTGTTTCCCCCTGCAGGAATTGTCACGCGGTGCCCACTGGAACTCAAGTTAAGGAAGAGCAGAGGAGTTACAGACTGGACTGCGACAATTTCTTATCGCGACAAAAAGGAAACTCTTCACAGCCCCTCTAGGGTGGAGCAAGAAGTTAGGAAAGGTAAGCGATGATTAGAGTTTTGGGGTAATTTTGATGCATTTTTTTTTAGAGGGAGAGAGAGAAAGAGAGAACACCAAAAGTCTTCTTATTCCCAAACAATTCGTAAACAAATGTATCCAATTCAAAGGTAAGAAAGTGGAACACAAAGTATTAGCACAAAGTATGCAGGTGTTCTGTCGAGGTGGCCAACTCGTTGAGATCTCCAACTAGTGACGCCACATCTGTTGTAGATTTCTACGAGATGGCACGCTAGTGCGCCTGCGTCAGCCATCACAGTTTTTGCAATCCTCGTTGACTTCTCCACTTGCCTTAAGTGCGCCTGTGCGGCTTCAAAATTGTCATCGAGTTCTCCAACTCCCGTCAGTGCTAGTGGCATTGGGTGCCCGTGCAGGCGCACTGCTGCAGACTGTACAGCTTGATACTTCTCTCGGGTGGCTGCGCAGGCGCACTGACGGGAGTTGGAGGTTTCTACGAGTTGGAGAATTTGATAGAACACAGGCAAAGTACACACACCTACCAAATTGCTCCTTTTCTTTATATACAAAGAGAGTTGCACAGTAAAGAGAAATTGAACTCTGGAAGCCGTGCCAAGAAAAGGCAGACGGGACTAGTCACCAGTATTACCTGTGGTCTCCCGACAGGTACTTTTCCTATTACTGACTTTCAATGTCTTTTTCTTCTGTATCTCTGTATGGAGGCGACTATCTAGGTAGAGGCACGGCATTACTTCCTCATGCCTGAGCCTCCAGCTAGGAGAACAGCCAAGAGCACAGTAGTGACATCTAAAACTGGCCCTATTACTGTTAGACTTTCATTTGAAGTTTGTATAGAATTCAGCGAGATCATTCATCAGAGTGTTCATTAATACCATCTGCGACTCGACAAACTTCGTATGACAGTCCTGAAATATTTTATTTGATTGCCACGCCAGTGTTTTGAATTTTAACGTGCGATTTCGGGATGTGATGTAATGTTTATATGGAGCTGGTACTTGAAAATCATCTCAGACGCAGTCACTTCAAATACAAATACTTTCATACAACAGGTTCCTTTTCGGGGGGGCTATAATAAGCAAAAAATTGGCGCAAAGCAAATTTTATTTCCATTTATAACTACATTCGTGGTACTTTTATTAATACATTTTCTGTACCTCAGACCACAAGGTTGTTTGCATTTTTCTTCAATATATTCCTGTAACATGTAAAACCTTTTTTAAAGGAGAACAATGGGGTAAGTGTTTTTCCCCATAGTTCTCCTCAGGGTCACGGGAGGACATAAACTAGCGTCCTCCCGTCACCCAAAGCTCAGTATACCGTGAGCTACAGTTTGCGGTATACTGAGACCGCCGCAGCTGGTACGGATCCCGACATTACTGTCGAGATCCACCCAACTGCGTGATTGACAGCGGGCTCTGCTTATCTAGAGGCAGTGTCAGCTGTACCCGCCCCTCCGTTCATCCAGTCTGCACTGGAGGATTGGAGCGGGGAGGGGGGAATCCCTGCGGAGAGCTGTGAGTGACAGTCAGAGCCCTCTGCAGGGACATGATCGAGAAGTGAGCGAGCAACGTTATGTGTTCGCTCACTTCCCGATCTATTGAGCAGTTTCATTGTCACACGTCGGCTCGAACTATGAGGTTGAGTGAAAATCACTCACCTCGTAGTTCTCCTTTAGCAAATGAATGGTCATGACCACAAAAATTCTACTTCCGGATGAAACTTTCTGTAGCACATGCACAGAATTCTAATTGCAATCCCTCCTGATTGAATACCACATTCACTATTAGAATTTTGTTTGTTCAGATAAGCAACAAGGACAATTTTCTATCCTTCCATTCTCCAAGTCACTCTGGGCAAAAACCCCAACTAACTATTAGAAAATTGGACAAATGTTTCCAAAACGATTCTTTTCAAATGAAATTGTAATCATATAGGGCCGAGACTAGCAGCCAGAGGCAGCGGTACCTTAGTTCTCAGCTCAGAGGCTATAGATACAGGAATGCCTAGACACCCTCACACTACCTCACCATCACATACCAGGAAGTGCGCTGTTATTTTTCAGGAGGAATTGCTGACAAAGGTAGGTTTTTTTCAGCATACCGCTTAGACAAAATAACACTTTGAATTTTTCCCTATAACCTTTTTGAGTTAATTTTCACTTTTTTTTTTTAGCAAACATTTACTTGTAGGCTACACCCATGATAAAAGAGGCGTCTTCACTCAGATTTTGTAATCCCAATGATACTCACTGAACCCACCTTCCCCGGACACTGGCAAATTTCACCTCTGCTGGACAACTGTGACTTGTGTGATCACAAAGGAGATTCAGCAGTGTCCGGGGAAGGAATGGTGTGTCTAGTTATCTGGCTGTCATGCGGATCCAAAGGCTTTAGCACTGTCTGACCTGGAACAAGACTACAGCTCAGGATTTCTGACTTTCCTGATCTGCATGGTCAGCGTCCCAAAAAATAATGAAGCTGAGTGAGCACATCCAGACAACTGTGAGTTTCAGAAGTTCCTCAATTGCAACTTCCGTATTTCTTTTACCACAGGCTTGCTTTAACCCATACAAGGACTCTGATTGTACAGTGCCACAGAGAGCATTATGTAGAATTGGACAATTACGCCACACACAATGCGCTGCAACTTTCCCCAATATTTGAGTGGAGTGGATCTAATGTGACTCCTCATATGTAGGGCCAAACTCAGACTAAGGCTTCTTTTAGATGGGTGGCCGTGTACCTGAGCGTTGGCTTGCAGGCATTCAGGAGGCAATACTCATCCCAAGTGTTTGGCTCAAAGTTGCGCGATCCGTTTGAGTTCAGTGGGCAGGTTTTACAGGCGGCGCCCAGGTTCAAATTGTTGCACTGTGGCCGCAGCGATGTGTATGGTGCTGAGCGCCTGTGATGTCACGTTGTGGGTAGGCAGTCAGGAGGTGGTAAAAATGCAAATCAACTAGTTTCTCTCCTGTCTTGGCATCGCTCGGGTTATCTTCTGCACTGTGCAGGACCAGAGCTGTCATACTGGCAGCTCAGTCCCACAGATTACACTGGGAGAGTGCAAACCTCCCGGTCTAAACAGCAGAGCTCCACTGTCAGTGTTACAGCTCCCGCTCTGTATTAGGAGCCCATAAACCAAAGCACAATGGAGCACCTATCAAAGTGACATTGGATCCAAACTAATTACACCAGGAGAGTCACTCTCTCACAAAGCTGTCAGTGTGACAGCCCAGCCCTGCTCTTTATTCATTTATAAATGGAAACTGCTGTGGTAGCCTTTATTTATATATTATGGTTATGGTCTTGCACAGTTGTACCGGCTCCTCTCCTGGACTGAAATGGCTTCCTCTGATTTCACTGCACACTGAGAGCTTCTCACAATGTGCATTAGAAGCTGCAGCAAGTCAGATAAAACCCGCCTCATAGCACTTTCCTCCCAAGCCTGAATGTCTCTGGTCTGCCTCTTTTATGCATTGGATTTCAGTTCTTTTAATCATGGAGGCTCAGCACAGCATCACATGTGGGCATTACCTAGGGCAGTCTGTATGCAAATATAGGCTGCTCCTACGCTACGGGAAGGGGGCCGAGGTGTCAGTCGGCTAAGTGGGAGGCGATGGGTGGCGGCCGAGCTGTCACCTGGGTGGGTAGGCTGCGGGCAGCTGGTGTAACGGAGGGGGGGCAGTGCTGTTTGTCGCTGTGCTGCCTCTGCCCCCTGCACCTACCGCACCCCCCAGGTGAGATGTCGTCTGAGTCTATCGGGCGCCAGGCTGCCTCAATATGGCCTGACAACTCCCACACCTCCAGACTGACAGCCACCCTTCAAGGCTTTTTGTTATTTGCACATCGTCCCATGCTTGTACCGGGGCTGAGAGCTCTTCATAGGAATGAGGCAAGGTGCTATTCTCAGGAAGCTATGTGCAGCATCTTGCCATCTCCTCCTACCAGCTGTGAGCTGCCTGCATTCATTGCATAGAAAGGTGCAGAGACCCAGTGGGGACAAAAAAGTGTTTAATGAAAACAGAAAATTTTAGTAAAAATAGTTATAAGCATTTTGTTGGGTGGAGGAACCAGGGAAGGCAAAATATAAGCAGAATAAGCTTCACCTTAAATCTTTTACCTTGGATTTATTTTTACATTTAAACTTTTTACATTTGCTTTTCTTCCTTTTTCTGTAGCTACAGAGAAATGCTTTGTGCCGGGCACATGATTATGGTGCCTTTAAATAAGGTACAAAAGGTACAAATCGCAGAATAAAACGTACACTTTGGATGAGTTACACGCTACCTTAGTTACCAGATGAAAGAAGAAGTTTAGGTTATAATCATGTTAATGGAAACCCGGCTCTTTTTTTTTACCAACATCTCCTACCATCCCATTGGGTTGTTCTTGGACCAGTGAACAATGGACCATGTGGATGTACCAACTTCATCAGCATTAGCTTAGGCAGGGGATCGGCGGCTCAATTTAGCAGCTTTGCACTATGTGCTAATGGACTTTATCCCGGCACTGTTAGGATTCACCAGCCTGTAAAATCGAATTTTAATGTGTGTGTCTAGCTTCAGTACAAGACTCTATCTGCTGTCTGCCTGACTTTATTCTTTTTCTTTTTTTCCAGCACAGAACATAATAGCTGGCACAGATAACGGAATCAGCGATGAGCTGATAACCCTGGAGATCGTCTCTCCCAATGTTCCTGATCTCACTCTGATCGATCTACCCGGCATCACCAGGATCGCAATGCCAAACCAACCCAAAGACATCGGAAAACAGGTCTGGTCATAAGAGCGCCACACTTCTCCCACATAGTGATAACATCAGTTCTGGATATCACAGGGAGCCATGGGATTTACATATTTAATAATCATCCCACGCAGTGATTACTGCATAGAAGTATCTACAATTCACAGTTCCTTATTTAATTATAATATTTATTCATTTTTCACATATAAAAAAAATACAACACAGTACAAATGTAAAAAAATATATTTATCATCCCGTGGTTCTTACAGTCACTTACAGTTCTTAGTTTTATATGGTACATTTCGTCTCCTCCTAAAGAAAAAAAAATGAAAAACAGAAGACCCCACCTCTCCTTTCTATTAGCCCTCATTCACACGGGTAATGGGCGGCCCGTAGAGATCCATGGTGCGTGCACGGCCGTATCGGGCCGCTCCCGGGAAGGACAGGTGCTGCGTGTGATTACATGCAGCAGCCTGTCTGTCTCTATGGGAGTATGCGGCCGTATGCCACCCTACACTCACCCATGTCCGTAAGGGTCTGGGTGTCCCTGCTCAGATGCAGACAGGATCCTTCCTGTCAGGATGCGTGTACGGACACCCGCACCCATATGGATGTGTAGTTCGGGTGAGCGTAGGGCGGCATACGGCCATGTACTCCCATAGAGACAGACAGGCTGCTGCATGTAATCACACGCAGCACCTGTCCTTCCCGGGAGCGGCCCGATACGGCCGTGCACGCACCACGCATCTGTACGGGCCGCCCATTACCCGTGTGAATGAGGGCTTATAAACTCATCTTTCTCTACTATTGGATACTAAGTCATCAAGGGGAGGTTATCTTCCTCTTCATACCAACTTAACAATCTACCCCAATACCCAAACATACAAGACAAAAACCAAAACAAAAATATAAAATTAAATATGGGTGAGCTGGCGTCATTTGAATTTTGATTTATATAATTCGTATGCTAATTATTAGGTAGGCTCTTTTCCCGCTAATTCTTCTACTTGAGTGGTCTTACAATTCTGAATCCAACTTTCCTAAGTATCCAAAAAATGAGGGAGTCTGTCTTGTATCCTATATTTACTTATCCAGGCACCGCAAATATCAGAAAATTGTAGAAATGTCACCAGCATTTATTGAAGTTCCTTGTCACATGAACAAGCGCTTTCTGGTCCACACAGAGTCCCTTTATCGGACTTTAGCATTGACCAATGTTGCATAGTTGTCCTTTGTTCCTGGACCAGCATTGCTTCTCAATGTCCTGCTATGGTAGCCTCCATGGCTTATTGGGAGCCACAGCTGAGTCAGGAAACAATTTATATATACTATGTGCAAAGTATTAGCTTATGTTAGGGTGATGCACATGTGTTTTTTTTCTGTCATTAGAGACCTAAAGGGGTCTATTTATAAACAATTCACTGTGAACGTTCATTGTGTGTGAATAGAGGCAAAAATTAATGTTCATGGTATAGTTTCTTATAGGTTGAATGTAATGTAACGCAGCATTATAGCCATTAATTGGAACTGAGGAGCATAGTAGAGATGCACCGATACCAAGTACAGATACTTTTCCAGCTCCAGGACTAGACTAGAGAAAAATACAAAAGTTAGGAGGCGGCTGTCATTTGTAAAGAGCACACGGAGCTCCTGGGATTTGTACATCTCTGTTCTATGTAGGATTTTGTTTTTATAAATATATATAAAGGGATGCACCGATACCATTGTTGCGAGTACAAGTACTGATACTTGCCTAAGTCCTCACAGATACAAGTACTGATACATTTTTGTTTATTGTCATGTGACAGTTTTTCTAAAGCAATACAGACTAATGATTTCAGGACAGTGGTGGAGCGCCAGAGCCCGGTCCCAGCTGCAGCCGCTGCCACCCTGGTGGTTCTCATGAAAATGCCAAGTATCTGCACTGGTACCTGAAAAGTATCGGTGCATCCCTAGAGCATAGGAAATAAAAACTTTGTGTTTTCAAATACAAAGCCTATAACGTAGTCCAAAGTAATAAATACATTTCACTACATAACTGTTCATCAAAATATAATATAAGTACATTTTCAGAAAAAAAAAATGTAGTTTAAATGTCAAAATGTCAAGCTTGACTGAGGTGCCATCTGTTGGTGTGTCATGACTTCAGACATATGTCTTGTATATTATATGGAAAACAAAAGGGAACAGAGTGCCACCTCTGTGTGTAAAATCGTTTATTAGGATAAATAAAACAAGGGATAAAAGTATTCACAAGCAAACGTTTTCATCAGGCTTTAACAACAAGCATGAGGCCACACTGTCTGTTAACCCAACATGGTATCACTCCGACTATGTAACACGGTAGCCTCCGGTCACATCACCATCCACCGGCCGCAGTCAGGCAAGATTGACGCGTTTCTGTGGCAAGCCCCCTTCATCAGAATCATTTTTTAGTTTGGGTTAACAGACAGTGTGGCCTCTTGTTTGTTGTTAAAGCCTGATGAAAATGTTTGCTTGTGAATACTTTTATCCCTTGTTATATTTATCCTAATAAACGATTTTACACACGTAGGTGGCGCTCTGTTCCCTTTTGTTTTCTATGTTCGTGGTGGAAGCCCCAGAGCCTTTGATGAGCAGCCCCTCAAGTCTGCGTGAAAAACTGTGATAAACTGTTGATAACTTTGAGTATGCAACAGCAAGTGGATCGTTCAGCTGGCAGCCATTAGCGCCAAGAGTTAAAGAAAACTTTGTGTATATTATATGGCCTATACATCACATGTGGGAAATCTTTCAGATGTACAAAGTCTATGCAGAGAAGACACCCAAACATACAAGAAGCTAAAGAACAATAACTACCATAACAGTAACTTGCTTTTCTGCTATTCTTAACCTTTGTAGATCAAGCTGATGATCAAGAAATACATATCAAGACAAGAGACCATCAATTTGGCTGTGGTCCCTTGTAATGTAGATGTTGCAACAACTGAGGCTCTGGAAATGGCCCGAGAAGTGGATCCTACCGGAAACCGCACTATAGGTAGGTGGCAGTTTTATCCTTTTCAGTTTTGTTGCAATGCCAGGTATAGAGGTGTCAAGATCATATAGCTGTACATCTGCTCTACATTGAGAGCCATTAGCTAAGCAGTAAATCCCTATATGGGGAACGGAGGTGATTTTACACACAAAGGGAACGTCTGTCTGCAGGCTGTGTCCTAGCACACATGTACTTTCATTCTTTCAGTTATCTGGCTTCCTTCACAGGGATTCTGACCAAACCTGACTTGATTGACAAAGGAACAGAGATGCATGTTTTGCGCACAGTCCAGAATGACGTGTACCATCTTAAGAAGGGCTACATGATTGTGAAGTGTCGGGGACAGAAAGAAATCGATGAAAACATTTCCCTGCAAGAAGCACTAGAAAATGAAAAAGCGTTCTTTGAAAACAATCAGCACTTCAGGTGAAGTTTATGATTATGTCTGTCACCTTTTACTTGATATGCAATTCCACTTTCTCTTCATTTCATTGAAGGACACAGCAAAGATCTTAGATCTGAACCACTGGGATATAGTGTCACATGCAGGAGTACGATGCTTGGTCCCGCATCATAGAAAACGTCTTGGTTTTTTTGCCTAGTGTGAAGCAGTTAGGGCCTAAGAAATTACGTTCCTTTTTTCCCCTTTTTTGAGTAATCAGTGGATCTCTTCAGCCTGGCAGAGAAACCCCGAAACGTTGCATTAAATGTGATATGCTGCATGTCCGTCAATAAAAAAAGACGCATCTGTACAGCATCTGGAGTGCCGGTGCCCATATTCCTACTTTGTACAAGAGAACGGTTGCCATCCGTTGATTACCGTGAGAAAGCGGTCAGGAGTGCGATGGGTTCATGGACTGTGTACCGTTTACGACCAATAGTGTTAACTTTCCTGTTTATTGTTTCAAAAGCAATAAAAGTTTATTGAACACAAAAAAAATACACAAAATCTTTATCTAAAAAAAATGTTTTCTTTTATTCATAGAGCTCTCTTAAGAAATGGACAGGCCACAATCCCCAACCTGGCAGAAAGACTCACCACAGAACTTGTGACTCATATTGTTGTAAGTAGACACGAGCCATTTCTGCTCTATCGATCTGCCAAATACTGCCCTGCCATCCATTTTGTAGTCAGATCTTTATTGTCCTTTGGCTTTTTTAATTTGTCTTTGTTTTTTTTGCGTGCAAAATATAGATACAGACATAATATTGTACCCAGTGGCAGTGGTGTATTTAGGTTTGGGGCTGCCCTAGGCAAGACAAAACTCGGGCGCCGCCCCCCCCCCCATACACTAAATTTACCCCACCTGGCTGTGGTCTCAGGTGGGCTCTGCAGGGTCTGTGGTGGTCTCTACAGGATCTGTGGTGGGCTCTGCGGGGTCTCAGGTGGGCTCTGCAGGGTCTCAGGCTGCTAAGAAAAAAAAACTCTGCAGGGTCTCAGGCTGCTAAGCCCACCATAGACCCCGCAGCCCCCGCCACAGATCCTGCAAAGCCCCCCTGAGACCCAGCAAAGACCCCCACTGATCCTGCTGAGACCCTGCAGGATCTCAGGGGGGCTCTGCAGGATCTGTGGTGAGCCCCCTATGGATCCTGCAAAGCCCCCCTGAGACCCGGCAAAGCCCCCCACATACCCTGCAGAGACACCCTGCAGTCTGCAGGATCTCAGGGGGGTTGTGCAGGATCTGTGCTGGGCTTTGCAGAATGCAGAGCCCCCTACGGATCCTGCACAGCCCACCAAAGAGTACTGCACAGCCCACCTGAGACTCTTTGGTGGGCTGTGCAGAATCTATGCTGGGCTCAGCCAGCAAGTCCCCCCCTAAATCTGCAGGATCTGTGGTGGGCTCTGCCAAAGACCCCACCACAGATCCTGCAAAGCCCCGAGACCCTGCAGAGCCCACCACAGATCATGCACACCCCCCCCCCAAGACCCTGCAGACCGGTGCAGGATGTGTGGTGGGCTCGGCCCAACATAGACCCCACCACAGATTCTGTACAGCCCACCCGAGACTCTCAGGTGGGCTGTGCAGAATCCATGCTGGGCTCTGCAGGGTTCCTTTAGCAGCAGTGTGATCATCTTACCTGCTGCTTAATCCCCGGCCTCCTCCACCGCTGGACTGGTGTGGCAGGACCTGGCCTCCTCCGCAGCCCGACGGCTCTTCGGTGACCCGGTGTTCTGACGAGAATGCACCGGCTTCCTATGGCACGACGGCGCCCTGGCCCCGCCCCTTCCTGATCCAACATCGTCCCGGCCTCGCCCTGCCCCCTCCTGCTGCTTCACCTCGCCCCTCCTTCTGCTCTGTCTCATCTGCCTCTTCCACCTGCTCCACCGCCGCCTCCTCGCCACTTTCTCTGCCTCCTCGCCGACTCCGTCCTTTGACTCCTCCACCGCCGCCTCCTCCACCCGGCTGCCTAAGTGTTTTGGGGATGGCATTTTTGCCACCCCCCTGAAATCTGCCGCCCAAGGCAAACACCTTGTTTGCCTCGCGGCAGATACGCCCCTGATTGTACCCCAGCAAAGATATCAGAATATCTTGATTACAGACTTCCATGTCCTCACCCTTCTGTTTGGTTAGTGGATATTTCTCCAATGATTTACACCCTTGCTTAATAAACTCATTGTGTATAGTTAGGCATAGTACTATCTTTTCAACAAACAATTCTCTTATCCATTCTCATTAAACCCATTTGTATTTGCTGCAGAGGTCATTGCCTGATATAAAATATCAGATCAATAATAAACTCCGTGAGGCAGAGGATGTACTGAATGCCATTGGTCAAGGTCTGCCTGACTCAGAAGATGACAAAATCCTCTTTCTTGTAAAGGTATGTGTGGATGAAACTACCTGTGATAGACTACACTGTATGCATATACTATTAAAGCTGAGAGAAGAGACACGTCATTGCAGATCTGTTCTCATCAATGCACAATTCATATTTTTTTAAAGTGTAAGTACCTGAATATGACCTGCAGTCAGCCTCTTGCAGCCCCTGTGCAGCAAGGCTGGCGCGTGAGAAGAAGAAGCAGCACAGAGAGCCAATCGGTTCATGCGCTGACAAGAAGCATGGTCTGTTTGTCCTTTTTGGAACCCAATCCATCTGTCCCATTTCAGTTGTGCGTCTTTTTAACCACCAAGTTAAGGCGTATTCTTCCCACTGACCATCACTTTAAGGGGCATTCTTCCCAGTAACCACCAATGTAAGGGACATTCTTCCCAGTAACCACCAATGTAAGGGGCATTCTTCCCAGTAACCACCAATGTAAGGGGCATTCTTCCCAGTAACCACCATTATAAGTGGCATTCCTCACAATGAGCACCAATGTAAAGAGCATTCTTCCCACTGACCACCATTGTAAGGAGGCTCTTCTCCTAATGAACACCAAATTTAAAGGGTCCTTTTCCCACTGACCTAAAAACTAAGGGAGCCTGTTGCCACTCACCACCAATGTAAGGTAACAGTTTGCTGACCACCACAGGGGTCATGATTTATATGATAATAATTATGATAAATAGACATGATTATTATTCAAATTATATTATTACTGAAAATTATTTTGCTGTATAGCGCAGCCCTGAGTGTTAACTATGCTGAGTACCTCACATTCCAGATTCTTTTATTTATTCTTATATCTCAACTTACTGTTCACACTAATGTGCCACGAGCTGTAGAATATAGTAAATGTAATCGGGGGTTCCCTGAGACCTGAAAGTGATTTTATAGGTTCCACTATGTTAGAAAGGTGGAGAAAGGCTGGCATAGTTTTACAATCCTATATGGAGGCAGCCATGTTCATTACATAATGCAGACTTCATTTCTCATTTTGTAGTGCTGCAGTGCTTGTGCCTTGCTGCCCTTTCTTTCTCTCTCTCTTCTCTCCCCCTATCCCTCGTCTCTCCTCGTACTCTCTCTCTCTCTCTCCTTGTACTCTCTCTCTCTCTCCTTGTACTCTCTCTCTCTTTCTCTCGCTCCTCTTTCTATCACTCTCTCCTATATCTCTCTCTTCCCCCTCTCCTCTCTCTCCCATCTCTTGTTTCTTCTCTCTCCACGCTCTCTCTTCTCCCCTATACCTCTCCTCTCTATCTCTCTCTCCTCTATCTCTCTTTTTCTTTGCCTCTTGCTCTCCTTCCTCTCTCCCCCCCCCTCTCTCTCTCTCCCCATCTCTTCTTTCTCTTTTCTCTCCACCCTCTCTCCTCTCCTTTAAGTCTTACCTTTCTTTCTCTCTTTCTTTGCCTCTCGCTCTCTTTTTTTCTCCCCCCCAACCTCTCTCTCCCAATCTACACTCGCCCTCTCTCTCTCTCCCTCTCCTTCCTCTCTCAATCGCCTTCTTCTCTCTCTCATCTTTCTTTTCTCTCCACTCTCTCCTCTCTCTATCTCTCTCTCCCTCCCTCCCCCCTCTCATAGAATCTAGCACACCATGTAACATGTAACATCTATATCTATTACCTTTTTGTTTCTCTTATTAGATAATTACAGAGTTTACAAATACAATTACACACATAGTAAATGGGGAGCATGATGGAGCAAGTGAAGATTTAAAACTCTTCAAAAACCTGAGAAAACTGTTTGGTTCTTGGGACAAATTGATGAAGACTTCTAGCTCACAATGTAAGTATGAGACAGATCCATATAGACCCATGTGCGGGAGTTTTCATTGGGATTCTCCAATGCTACAGAGCAGGGACATTCTTAGCGACTGACACAAGGTCTCTCTACAAGGTGGTTGCTTACAGGAACTTTGAGTTGCTAATATGTTCACATTGCTTTCCAGAATTATAATGAAAGTTATCTACAAAGCAACCTTATTACAGCAGTAAATCCATAACTGGGAATCAAGGGGGTACCTGCAGAGCCATTGAACTATCTATTTTTCTTGGAGACTGAAAGCCTGGCATCCTACTTAGTTACTCTATGCAGGGTTCGCTACCTCAAGTAGAATCCATGGTTTTATAGATCCGGCCAGTGGCATTGTGTAGTAGAGTTTATAAACAGCTCCCGATTTCCCATGGTTTAAATCTTTATATGTTCTCAGTTGTGTCCCCCCTACAACGTTGCCAAATGGCTACAGGTGAGGAAGCCAGGCTCATGTGCCCCCTCACCTTGATCCTCCTACTACAGGAAAGTGCTAGGCTATATGAGCAGAAAGTTCAGCATCCTTTACAAAAGTAAGAGTATGAAGGCGCCCTGTAAAACATTCCAATTACAAGTATTAAGTATGTAGCAGGCTGTAAAAAAAATGTCCCTTGATAAAAGTTGGTATGTCAATACAAACAGAAAACGTAAGTTACATATTTGTTTACTTATGGTTGTAATTCCCATTTGATATTTCAGTTGTGCACGAACTGAAGAAGGAGAAGAATAGTTATGACAATCAGTACCGTGGACGGGAGCTCTATGGGTTCATCAACTACAAGAAATTTGAGAACATCTTGCACAAGCACATCTTGTCCTTTCAGGAACCTGCCATTAACATTCTACACGACGTCAGCAGTAAGATTGTATTGAAACTGTGCTGGACAGTAACCGGTGTAATATTATATACAACCAGTGTCAACTTTCTTAAGTTTACTTAAATTGTACCCGTAAGGGGGTTTATGATCAGCTACATGGTCACAGGTATACTGTGGCATTCAAATGATTCTTAGAAGGCTATTCACAAAGGAGCCGAAGGATCCAGCTGTGGCTTCGGCTGATCCTTCGGCTCTCTTCGGCCGCCGGAGCCCTTCAGTTCAGTCACTATTCACTCACTGCTGTACGGCCCCTATCTGAATAGGGGCGAACGGCAGTGAGTGAGCTGCCGGAGCTTTGGCTCAACCGATCCAGATGTTGGATCGGCTGAGTCAAAGTCTTTCTGCACTTCGGCGCTGCCGTACTGAGCTATACTCAGCCGTACTGAGCCATAGTGAATAGCTGAACGTTGTTCGGCCCACTTCACTACAGCTCGGTTATTCACCCGGCTGCCTTTGGCAGCTTTGTGAATAACCCCCTTAGTCTGTAACAACGTGTAAAGACCAAGGTTTTTTTTTTTTTTTTTAGTTTTGGATAGAGTAGGCAAGTGTTAGAACCCTTGTCAGAAACAGAATAGACTTTTGTAAAATATGTAGAAGCCACTCGGCCATGTCAAGGCCTCTCTGCTTAGTGTGATCCTAACTCTAATCCTTGTCAGCCTCCATCTTGGTTTTTTGGGGGGTTTTGTTTTGCAAGCTAGCTGGTAAGTGTGCTGGAAAATGTTTGTAGTGTGGAAAGTCCTTACATGCGCACCTTACTATAAAAGCTAGTTATACATTGATTTGTATGGTTGCCATTTGCTTTGCTTGTTTTAACTGGTGTGGGCAGGGCCGGATTTCCCACAAGGCCAACCAAGGCCCGGCCTCGGGGCAGCAGGGAGTAGAGGGGCAGCAGGGGTGTGGAATTCCTATCTTCCGACATTCAGGACATGCAGTTCCGGGCACCAGGTGGGTAGTTGTTTTCTCCATTTAGCCCTGCTTTGGGCAAGCAGCGGGGAAGCCGTCGCTCGTTTTCTACAAGTGATCTCTGCAATGTTGCCGTGATCACTTGTATGCAACCTGCATAGAGGGGGGCGCATTGAGTAACCTGACATTGGGGCAGCAGAGAGAGCAAATCCGGCCCTGGTGTGGGGACACACTTGGGGCTTCAGCTGCCTTTGTGATGTGATGTTCTGGGCTTCTGGTGTGTCCCTCTGCCTTTAAGGAGGATTGACCTGCCTCCAGGCGTACCTGCATTCAATTTATCCATTGCTATATATGCTCCATGATGGAGGCTCTCATAGAGTTAGGGCCACACTACACAGAGGGGCATTAACGAGGTAGTGCAACTAAAGTTGTGTAATGAAAACCTTTGTTTTTAGCGTACATTTTTAGACAGTGTAATCTGTTTTTTTCCAGGCTGGCTGGTAAGTGTGCTGGGAAATGTATGTATTTGTACTGCGGCATTCCCCAAAGGTGGGGTGATGCTTGTGCAATTATTATTGACATTAAATTGCCACATGCCCATACTAGGTCCATATCATTGATCAAATATAGCCATGTAGACCTATAAGGTCAATTATATCAGGACGCCTGTAACCATTACAGGTCTTGCCTTCAGCCAGCATGTGAGTGGAGAGAAAAATAGGAGAAGAAGACGACTGATGAGCTTATGCTCTCTCCTCTCTTCAGCATATTTTTTAAAAGTACATGAGCATTGCAGCCAGGGCCAGATTTCCCACAAGGCCAACCAAGTAGGGAGTTGAGGGGCAGCAGGGGTGTGAAATTCCTATCTCCCGAAGCCCGTGCGGGTAGTTATTTTCTACATTTAGCCCTGCTTTGGGCAAGCAGAACTAAATGTACAGTGGAGCTAATACCAGGCTAATACCAAGTCAACGTCATGTACTTACATTTAAAAAATACATTTAATGATGTATCAATGAATATAGAGTTGTATTAATTTGTGTCTTTTATATGTCCCTGGAGTTTCAGCTTTAACAGTATGTACGTTAGAAAGTAGTCGTTTTAGATTTTTGTTTTGTTTAGGAATAAGAAATATCTTTTAAGATTAATAAGTAAATAAGCAGACAGAAAATGTAAATGAAATAATATGTGGCTATAAAAAAAAATAAAAAACTGTATATGGTCCCTTCTGGTGAGTGATAGCGTCCCTTTAATGGTGACTATTTTATTATTAATTTGACTTTTCTGTCTTTTTTTCTTATATAGAATTAGTACAAAGCTGCTGCACGCAGGAATCATCAAACTTTTTCGAGAAGTATAAAAATCTGAATGCTTCTGCTGTGGTAAGGCTGAATAATTGGCATAAAGAGTGAGAATTTTCAAATGCTAAAGCTGCCCATACACCTTATAAATATCGGTCGATTTTCATATGCGATCGCGTTTTCGTCCGATATCCGTAAGGTTGATGGGCAGTCTACAACCGCAAATACTGTACAATTGATCGACTTTTGACTAACCAGCAGGTTAGAAAACTTTGGTCGATCGTACAATTTTCACAATGTTGGTGGCGTTTCCGTACGTCAAAAATCGTACGATTTACACTGCACATGCGCAAACGAAAATACGTGCGGTCGATTACCGCGATTTGTCCAGGTGCTTTTTTTAAATTACTGCTGATTGAACCGTGCGATAATCGGGGCAGGATGGGGCCATACGAAAATCATACAACGGTTCGATCATCGGACGAAAAGTGTTGTCCGATGATCGCAACGTGTATGGGCAGCCTAAAACAGACTTGCACCGTGGTTGCCTCAAGCTAATCAGTAATGCTTAAAGTGCACCTGTCATTTCTGAAAAACTTCTAAGCTGGCTATAGGAATTTCAGTACTTAAGCATAGCTTCAGATGTCTTCTAAAGCGCCCTGTTAGTCCTAAAGTCCCGGTGGCTCTATGCAATATGTTGCACCATCTAGTGGCCATAATGCGCTGCAAATCTAAACTCAGACCTGAACAGGAAAGAAGATCCTTGCTGCACTCCTTACCGGGATTCCCATATGGATACACTGGCGGGTGCTCAAAATGACTGCGGATTGCGAGTCATCTCTGAGCCTGATGAAGGGGACCCTGGCCCCGAAAGCGCTTGCATAATGAGAGACAGCATACGTCAATAAATGAACACTTTGCTGTAATCATCAATTTGGTGTGCTGGTGACATTTTTCAGCTATCTAAACTTACACATTTGCAGAGCGAATAATTATTTTATAAATACACCCCTGAGTGTTTTTGGGGTGTTTCTTTACACCAAAATGGTTGAACATGACTGATGGATTCGTCAATTACGTCCCTCTGTTAAAAACCCCAATAAACACACAGACTGCACGACATGGATTTTAACGGCCACAGCAGCCCTTTTTTTAAGCAAACCAACATTACCAGTAGCCAAAGTAATAAACCGTATAATATAAAAATAAATACTCTTAACGACTGTTGGATCTGAGAAGGGGTCTTTGGGTGCCCAACAGCCCAAATAAGGCCTCTCCTAAAAACTGCCTCCATGTCCCCAGCCACACCCCAGCCACCTCAAGGACAGTTACTGCTCCCAAGTTCCAAGGGGCCAGGGCCCCCTACAAATACTGACACCAACAGGGGGAAGCACCCATACCAGCGGATGGCCCCCCCATTTGTGTAATTGACTCAGAGTTTCAGAGACAATTACACAAAAGACCCCCTCCCAAAGACCCCCTAACTCGCCAAGCTGCCGTGACATAAAAAGAACCTTGCAACCAGCGTAAACCACAACATTCAGGGAAGGCGGGTGGGACAACCTGCTTCCTCTGGCAATTTTCCAGAAAGCCTCTTAGCCCTTGCAGTTCCAACCCATGCGGCTCCTCCCTCCAACATATATCATGTCTACCTCTCTCGTTCATTCTCCCCCAATTGCATCCACATTCCCATAATTCGTTCCTTTCTTTCGCACGTTCCTTTGGAGGAGTAGGAGGGAAACCCTCATATCCCTGTGTCGTTAAACCTCTGTCCTCCCCTCTGTGTCCTCAAACCCCCCCCTCTACTCTACGGGGATTTGAGCAATTTCCAAATAAATCTATCTAAATCAGAATTCTTAAACATATCTCTAACTGACAAAGTAATAACTAATATAAAGAATAACTACCCATTTAGATGGCAGGCTAAACATATTGTATATCTGGGGGTTAATATTCCGAAAGAACTTAATGAATTATATACCATTAATTTTAGAGATTGGATAGACAGTATTTTTGCCCAATTTTATTCATGGAATAGTCTAAGAATGTCTTGGATAGGGAGAGTAAATATTTTAAAAATGGATATCCTCCCAAAAATACTATATAGATTCCAGACAATCCCCATTCTCCTACCAGAAGCTTTTTTTAAGAAACTAAAATCGGCAGCAATTAAATTTGTTTGGGCTAATAAAACTCCTAGAATAAGTGCTAAGGATTTGATGAGATCCAAGCACAGGGGAGGCCTGGGAGTCCCAGACTTTGCACTCTATCATAAAACGATCCTATTGTCCAGAATATTGGATTGGATACATAGCGGCCAAGACAAAGGAGTAGTAAAGTTAGAAGCTGATGTCTCCCCAGTGTCTTTGAGGAATCTCCCTTGGCTTCCAATGGAGTGTAGACCACAGACATCGGCACTGCCTCTCTTAGTAGAAGCAGTATTTCAAGTATGGGACAAGTCTGTTATTAAATATAACCTTTCAACTAGTCCTGGACCCTTGACCCCCATTTTGGGCAATCCACAATTTCCACCAGGTATGCAAGTAACCACATTATTAAATATGGAGAACATTCCACACCTACAGATATGGCAAGTGTTAGAACCAGGTAGCGAAAAATTAAAAATGCACCTAAGACCAGAAAGACAACTTAATGGGAAGGTATGGATGGAGGCAGTTCAGCTTTCAGACTATATCAGACACCTTAGGACATATAAAACTCTTAACAGGACACTTACTACATTTGAGAAACTGTGTATATCAGAAACACCAGTCACACATACCCTGTCAGTAGTATATGGCATGTTAAGGGTGGAAGAAGATAAGGGACATACAAAGTATATGAAGAGATGGGAACAAGCAATGACAGAGAGTGGGAAAGAATATTCAACATGACACATAGATCTGTCGTATCTTCCTTCCACCAAGAAAAGAACTACAAAATTATATCTAGATGGTATAGGTGCCCAGAAGGCATCAGACACATAAACCCAGACTTATCAGATAGATGCTGGAGATGTAGTCGGGAGGAGGGGACATACTTGCATATCTGGTGGAGCTGCCCTAGATTGCAGCCTTTCTGGGAGTCTGTATTTGAAATATATAACGCCATAGAGACACAAATTTTGGAAAAACACCCTTTTATGGCATTATTGTCATTAACCCTTTCGCTGCCAAGGACGTACGGCATACGGAGCTACAAAAGTGCTTCCAGCTGGCCAGCTCAGTATGCCGTATGTCCTTGGTATTTACAAGGGTGAATTCTTGGCCCCTTAAAAAAAAAAAAAAAAGCGAAATCTTAAGATTTGTATTGGTTGCAGCTAGGATATGCATATCGCAGGGTTGGAAGTCAATGATATCACCCACAATAGAGAACTGGGTTAGAACAATGGAGGAAATAAGATATATGGAGGAGCTAAGTGCAAGGGACTCAGATAAAAAGGAGAGTTTCCATAAGATCTGGGGAAATTGGGAAAACTATATACAGACGGAGGAACTTAGGTAGATCTATGGAGAAGGATAGAGTAAAGAGAAGGAGCCAAGGGAAAAATAGAAATAAAGAATCCATAGTGGGGCATTGACTATATAGCCAAGGATATAGATAAGATTTTGGATTAGATGTTTTACGAGTAGAAATATGACCTGTATGAGTGAGAAACAGTAAGGAATATGAATGCCTATTGGAGGAGTGGGAGAAAAGGATAAGAGGTAGGGAAAGGAAAAGAGGTGAGTGCACAGTGGGGGAAGTAGAATGGATTAATTGAGTAGGTATACTTAGACAAACAAATGAAACTAGATTTGAAGACAAATAATAAGCACATATTAGAAGAGGATCACAAATGTATACAGAAGGAGATTTGATTAGAAAGAAAGTGATCAGTTTACACTTGAAATTTGTTATGAGTTTTTACACACGATTGGATAGACACCAGAGAAATAGGGAGAGGAATACCATCTTATTTTTTTAACCCCTTATCCAGGGACTATTCCTCCCCCCAGTCATGTAGCCCCTCCGTTTAGTCTCTCTGGGTCTGTCTTTTTCTGAAATGACACAGAAGTTATTTCATGTAAATCATGTAAATACAAACAGCAGTAAGTGTAGTTCTTTAATACACATGAGCAGTCAAAGGTGGCCATACACTTTACAACCATCGCAAGACCTTAGTCTTGCGATGGTTGTAAAGTAATGAAAAAGACGTACGATCTGCCCATCTTGGACAGGCAGATCGTACACTCCATCATCGCAAGCCCGCCCCCCTGAGGGGCAGGCTTCCGATGACCGCAATGCTGAATGGGCAGTGTGCACGTGCGCACACTGGCCCGTTTGGCATTTGTCTCCCGAGCACCGTTCAAACCAGCCGAAAATCGTACGATTTTCGGCTGGTTTTCTAGCGTGCTCCCTAGACAAAAGACGTGCGACCGTACAGTAAAAACGGTTGCACGTCTTCCATACACTTTGCGAATATCGTACGATCGCGGGATTTCCCGCGATTATCATGCGATAATCGCACAGTGTATGGGCACCATAAAGGGTTTAGCTTCATATGGAGCTGCATGGCATCAAAACGATTGCTGATGGCTGTTCTCAATGCTGTAATCTTGTTAATTGATTTGCTCCTCCGCTGCTATGGAGAGGGTTGGGAGATCAGACTAGCATGGAGCTGATGCACCGGGCACTAGATGTGCCTCTGTATTGAACAACGGTATGCATAAGCCCTCATTGCCTTGTTGCACATTTATTTGTTACAGGACAAAATTCAAGATATTTCCCGTGAACTGGAGCAGCAAGCTGAAAACACAATTAAGTTGCAGTTCCAGATGGAGGGAATCATCTACTGTCAGGACTCTATCTACTGCAAAGCTTTGTCAAGTGAGAAGACAGGGGGGGCCTCTGGGAGCAGAGTGCCTGCACAGGAACAAAGTCAGCTGTCAATGGAGGAACTGGCCAATCATTTACAGACCTATTTAACGGTGAGGAGCCTTGCACAATTAATATACACCTTAGCACATTCCATGGCAATTGGATTAAGGCAGATGAGTTGCCCTTGTGGTTTTAAATGCTGGGGTATGTTCCTGACTCTTATTAGGGTGGAAGAAGCTGATTTGATGAGCAGCAAAACATTGTTAACATTAGAGAATAAGTCCAGTTGAATGCAACTAACTCCTATGAGGTATATCATGACCTGGATATATGAGAACCTTCATAGACATTTTACCTGTCAAAATGTGCCGTGTTCTATTCCAGTAGCACAATAGTTAAAGTGTATGCAGTACAGCTCTGCGCTCTTTAAAAACACTGCAAGTACAATAAATTACCATTTCATCCTGCTAGAATTGCGCTTCTAACTTCCTGTAATGAGCTGACAACACTGCTTCTTCTGTATTGAAATCCCAAGTAGTGTTGCCAGCCCTGTCCAGTTCTCCTCCATGCATGGTGGGTTTTCTCATTGAAGCCAGATGGAGGGAATCATTGTATGCAGCGTGTTTCAGCACCTGGCAATGTCACCGGCTTTATTGGGCGAAGTGATCCTTCCTGATGGTGTCTTCATAGTCTTTACTGTGCTGTCACTTGGAGCGGCACAAGACATTGAGCTGCTAGGCATTATTCCTCCCATTGACAGGGGGGCATCATTCCTTCCAATGGCAGAGGGGTACCAGTCATCCCACTGACACAGGGACAGCATTCCTCCCGCTGATGCAGGGGCTTCATTCCTCCCACTGACAAAGGGGCACCATTCCGCCCACCGACACAGGGGCACCATTGCTCACACTGACACAGGGGCACCATTGCTCCCACTGACACAGGGGCACCATTGCTCCCACTGACACAGGGGCACCATTGCTCCCACTGACACAGGGGCACCATTGCTCCCACTGACACAGGGGCACCATTGCTCCCACTAACACAGGGGCACCATTGCTCCCACTGACACAGGGGCACCATTGCTCCCACTGACACAGGGCCACCATTGCTTCCACTGACACAGGGCCACCATTGCTCCCACTGACACAGGGGCACCATTGCTCCCACTGACACAGGGGAACCACTCCCACTGACACAGAGGTGTTACACCATTTATATCAATGTCAAAGGGCTGCATTCATATTACTGATACAGGGGTACCATACCTCCCGCTGACATAAGGGGGCATTGCTAAGACGGGGCACCATACCTCCTACTGACACAAGGGCACCATCCAACTTACTGGCACAAGGGTATTTATTACTCCCGCTGACACAGGGACATGTATTACTCCCATTGACCACTAACGCAGAATCATTTATTACTCCCTCTGATGCCGGACCATTGTTTGCTCACACTATATGGCCCCCAAACAGTCTGGCAGGCAGTAGCATGGCTCTTTGTTTTAAAAGTTTGAAGACCTCAGTTCTAGCTTTTCCTTCTCTAGAACAAAAAATATTTTCCAACTTTTTTAACAATGCCTTTTTTTTTTTTTTTTTAAGGAAACGACATCTCGTCTGTCTAATCAGATTCCTCTCATTATTCAACATTACATTCTGAAAGAGTATGCGGGAAAACTGCACAATCAGATGATCCTTCTGATACAAAACAAGCAGAACACGCATCTCCTCGAGGAATCGCATGAACTGGCAGAACAGAGGCACGCGCTAAAGAACCAAATTCAGCGCCTCAGGCGGGCCCAAGAACATTTGTCAAAATTTCCAGGACAATGAGGAAATGAATGTGTGCCTCCTCATGTATCTCTTGCCCCTCCCTTTAAGATTGCAAGCCCTCAGGGGCAGGGCCCTCCGTACCATCTTGTCTTGAATTGTATTGTGATTGTAATGTCTTCCTTATATTGTACAGCGCTGTGCAAACTGTTGGAGCTATATAAATCCTGTATAATAATAATAATAATGTGCCCTCTAAAAGGAAATATTAAATACTCATCTCTCCCGCTGCCTACATTACCAGTCTCTGCAGTAGGGAAGAGAAAATACTGTCTGACTATTCTGGGAGTTCTTATTCACTGGTCCCCTGATGGGCACTGTGCTCCCCCCATCAGCCCCTATATACAGGACACAGTAGTGATGTAGGGGTTAGCAGATAGAGCCGCTGAAAGCATCAGGAGAACAGGAAATCAACACTCTCAGAAACAAATGGATGTTATTCAGTCAGCGGTTGCTCTTCGCTACTGCAGAGATCAGTGGCGTCTCAAGGGGGGTGCGGAGGGGTGACACCAAAATGACTGACAGTCATTTTGGTGTCACCCCCTCTAAAAAAGTCGGGCATTCGGTCATGGACCTGAAAGCCCGACAGTGTCAGGAGAGAGGAGGGGACCCGGCGGCATGCCTCATCCCGCCGGGTGAACGTTCCCTCCTCTCTCTCCCGGCATCCATCACCAAGATGGTCGCCGGCAGGTGTCAACTAGATGGCCGCGCATGCGCGATGACATCACGGCGGGCTGTCACCCGGCCTCAGGACGCCCCCGTCAGAGATCATTATGGCAGCAGGAGAGCTGAGTATTTAAATATTTGTGGTTA